GCAGCCTCCTCTGTGAGCTGCGCAGGAGGAAAGGCGAGATCGTACAGGACGTGAGCTTTCCAGTGTCAGGGCAAGTCGCATCATTGAGAGGCTGGAATTCCTCAGTCGTGGGTACGGAGGCTGCTCTTCTCGGAAGCCCTGTGCCCTTTCTGTGGGGTCGAGAGGAGACGGTCTCTGCAGAGTCTGTCGCTTGGGCTCTACAGTGTCAAAAAGATGGGGAGTCCAATGGGAAACGTTGCCGACAGGTCAGTTCATGTTCTGTCGGCCTTTGGGGATTAAACGGAGGCCTAGGATTCTTTGGGGGAGAAGAAAAGGGTCCGTTAATTCATAAGAAACACTGGTGTCATCTGAAAGAGCTGACTGCTCCTGTTTGAATGTGTCCAGCTAAGCCACCTGCCGCTGCAGTGTAGAGCATGGGAGGTGCCCGGGGCAGGGCTCAGAGGGTGGCAGGAGGCATCGTCCTGACCCTGGAGGAGGGCGGGTCAGACGTCTCCCGAGGGTGGTGACCGTCCCGTGGAGGCAGCAGACTGATTCCAAATGTCCAGCCACCATCTGCCGCTCTGTGGAGGACGGGCATCGGGTTCTGTGCTTGAACTGGCAGCTCTGGAGGTGGGTGGGCTACAGAATTCAACACGGGAGCTCTCGAGCAGAGGACCCCTGCCGCCCGCCCCCTGTGTGCATCGCCGGTGTGTCCAAGCACAGCTCAATGGCCGTCAGTAGGGGGCGCGCTGGATGCGGTGCCTGCACCAGGTGCTGCTGGCCTGGCCGTCCCCTGCGCAGAGCAGTCGTGGGTGTGTGTGGCTGCCGTGGGCATGGAGGAGGACAGGACACGTGTTTGCAGAGCTCGTCTCTGCTGGAGCCACATTTAGCGCCATGGGCATCACCGGGTTCTCTCCACAGCGGCCTCGGGGTCAGCTGTGTTCTGCACCTGTTTCTCAGTGAGGAAACTGAGGCACAGAGTCACATTGGTTAAGCAGGAGACCTGGGGTGAAGCCCAGCCATTCTGACCCCAAAGCCCACCCTCTTACAAGGCTCTGTTGTCTCCCCAAGGAGAGGACTTTTCCCAATTTAGACAAAAAAAAACCAAGTATCTATTTCTTATCCCACTTGATCATTAGTAAGGTGGCACCAGCTGTCACGAACTTCTTTTATTTTGAGACTTAACGTCTTATGTTCAAAGAATTTAAGGAAGTTGCACTAAAGTTTTTATTTGTCTTATTTGGCTTT